AGAATATTTTTTTAGCACCACAGAAAATCATCGTCCCTGCACTGCTATAAATAACGAAATCATATAAACAATGAGGATCATTTCCACTTTGGGCGGTTCAATCAGACGATATGAAATTTGGTATATTCTCCAAATAACCTTTTTTGTATAACCGAAACTGGGGGTACAGCATTAACGTTAATACAGTAATATTGCTTACAAATAAATCATATATTTGTTTAATGGCTAACGCTAAGGAATTTCTTTGATTAATAAACTGAAAACCACGTCGATGAGTACATGTAAGTTACTATATACTTACAATTAGCATATCGCACTGATTAATCCATTTTCATGTAAAATACCTGGGTGCAAACCGTAGAAATTATATTAATCGTGAAATAATTCTTTAACATAAAATGTGTATGTGCTTGAATTTTCCTTTACGTAATAATTTAATAAATTACTTATCTCTAATAAGTAACCTGCCTTGAAAACTTCCCGGAAGAAACTTTATTAATAACTTTTTTTAAAAATAAAATCTTAAAAACTGTCAATTTGCTTGGAACCGATGCTAATTAAATTAGTCCTAGGACTGATTTGATTGGCATTGGTTCAAACAAATAGCCAATTTTTAAGATTTTTTTAAAGAAATGTTATTAATAAAGTTTCTTCCCAGAAGATTACTTATTGGAGATAAGTGATTATACTCCTCTGGGACTAGTACTGTAATTTATCAGCTCTATACTGTAATAAGGGAACAATGTACCTTGGCATTTGATACATTTTTTATCAAGTAATTGTTTTAGACCCGAATATTTAATCAGTGCGACAATAATTCTAAGCTACTGTATTTTAAATTATTTATATAGTTTATACTTACTATACTTTGAACATTAGTAATTGAATATTCGAAAAAATTAGAGACAAGTTTAAAAAATTGCAATATAAGACATTTCGATTATACACAATGCAGTGACCTCAAAACCATCGGGAGAGGAGGAAATGCTATTGTATATTCGGCCATCTTCGAAGAACAAATATACGCAATAAAAAGCTTAAATAATAATCTAAGTTTTGACGATAAGATATTTAGAAAAGTTAAAAATGAGGTAATGTGTATTCTATATTTATTATTTCTTAATATTCTTCATATTTATTTAATTACATGTATATGCTATAGCTCAAACGTCTTTATACGGCCAATCATCCCAACATTATAAAATTCTATGGCGTTTCGAGAGGTAAAAGTACATATCGTATACTTGAGTAATATCATTTCTAAATTATAATGTTTGAACTTTAGATGAAAAAACGAATAATTTTATGTTGGTACTACAATATGCCAATGGTGGTAATCTGCGGGAACATTTAAGAAGAAAACAAAAGGAAGGAATTTATAAAATATTATGGACTGAACTTATCAGGATTGCAATAGAAATTGCACTTGGATTAAACCACTTACATGAAAAAAATATAATACATAGAGATCTCGTTAGTGTATTTCTTTTTTTATGTACATTATTTAATTTCCGTATAAAATTTATTTGTTTATTGATTTAAATTTTTTTTAAAACATAAAATCTAGCATTCCATGAATATTTTGATACATAATGGCAAGGCATTGATTACAGATTTCGGTTTATCAAAACAATTAGATGGTTCCACTCCTACATCGAGTTATGGTGTGAAAGGCATAGCCGCATATATTGAACCACAATACTATCTCCAAGGTGGTGAAGAGGTTAAAATCGATAAAAAATCCGATATCTATAGCTTGGGCGTATTGCTTTGGGAACTTACGAGCGGAAGTCCTCCATTTAATGGACTTGATGATTTTGCTATAGGATTAAAGATTGCAAAAGATCAAAGAGAAGAAACTATCACCGGTACACCCATAGATTACGCCATTCTCTTCAAAAAATGTTGGTCATCTAATCCGGATTTACGTCCAGCATTGAAATATATTTTGCCTGAATTAGAGAGGTTATCAAATAGAGAAACTGTAAAATTCATTACGAATGTGATTGATAATGAAAAAAAAGCTACACAATCCATTTTCAATACTTCAACATACTCAGAAAACCCGGTTCTTTTGAATGATAGTGGAATATCTCTCGAAAACATTCCCGCATTATCTCAAGGTGCAAACATTCCTGCAGAATGGCTTGAAAGAAGTATTAGTAATGGATATATAAATTATTTAGAATATAATGAATTTATAGATCCTACAATTATTGGTATTGGAGCTTTTGGAAAAGTTTTCAAATGCTGGTGGAAAGATTCTGAATTAGCAGTTGCTCTTAAGTGCCTTAAAGTCGATACAGATATAGGCTTAAATGAAAACGTTATTAAAGACTTTGTTAGTGAGGTATTTACTATATTAAAACTTGAAATGCTTCCTGGTATAACACAGTAATATTATATTTACTTTTTTCTTAACAATAAAAGCTTAAAATATTACGAAAAGTTGATTATCATCCAAATATCATTAAATTCTATGGGGTAACGAAAGGTATACATACGGTTCATTTTTCATAAATGTAAAATAATGAGTATTTTAATTTATGGTATTAATTACAAACAAATAGACAATAATGGATATTATAATATGATTTTACAATATGCTAATGATGGAAATTTACGAGAGTATTTGAAAGCGAATTTTTTAAGATTACAGTGGACAGAAAAATTACAAATTGCTGAGGAAATAGCGCTTGGTCTTTTATTCTTACACAATAACAATATTATTCATAGAGATCTTGTAAGTATAATATTTTTATATGTTTGTGAGTTTTGTCTACAGTAATTAATATCTTATATATTTCATAGCATTCGAAAAATATCTTAATTCATCAAGGACAGCCAAAAATAGCAGATTTTGGAATTTCAAAAAATCTAAATGAAACGTCTATGACTTCAAACTCGATTATTCGTGGAATGCCGGCATATCTCGAACCTCAGTGCATTTTTAAACAAGGATATGTATATGATAAGAGATCGGATATATATAGCGTTGGAGTAATCCTTTGGGAAATTTCGAGCGGAAAGCCACCATTTGAGAACTTAACATATGGGATGATTTCTCATAACATTATCCAAGGAAATAGAGAAGAACCCATAGAAGGTACACCGCCTCAATATGTCGAGCTTTACACTCGATGTTGGGACAGTGATCCTACTAATCGTCCGGAGACAAAATTAATTCTTAATACTTTAAAACAACTCAATAGAAATTTGAAACAACATGTCGCCAATGAACAATTAATTAAAAATAACGCACTTACTAAAAAATTCACCAAAACAAATAGATTTAAACCATATCAGCCGATTTGATTTTTTGGGCCTTTTTTTTTTTTAACAAACACAAAATTTTGCTCTTAAGTAACAAAAGTAATAAATGAAGCACTTGTTATAACCAATAAAAGAGCTGTTTGGCAAGATAAAAGACAAAAACAAAAGTTAATAAAAAATTATTATAAGCTGTATAAAGAAATATTCGA